TAAACGGTCTATCATGAGAACGTAGAGCACCCCCCATGGTGGTAGGCGGTCTATCATGAGAACGTAGAGCACCCCATGGTGGTAGGCGGTCTATCATGAGAACGTAGAGCACCCCCATGGTGGTAGGCGGTTTATCATGAGAACGTAGAGCACCCCCGTAATGGTAGACAGTCTATCATTAGAACGTAGGCGGTCTATCATGAGAACGTAGAGCACGCCCATGGTGGTAGACGGTCAATCATTAGAACGTAGAGTACCCCTTAGTGGTGGCGGTCTATCATGAGAACATAGAGCACCCCCATGGTGGTCGACGGCCTCTGACGTGATATCATGAGAACTTAGAGCACCCCCATGGTGGGCGACGGCCTCTGACGTGGTACTTTACAGGGGTGCATATCGAGTAACCCTTACTTCAATGTCCATCATTGATAATTATTGATCTCATCATATCAAGTTGTCCTCATCTATGCGGTTATAATCACTCGCGTACGCGGATAATTATTGATGTCATCATGTATCACCACGTGACTGTATAATAGGAGCCTAGGCACCTAAAAGGAAAATTAGATTTATAAGGAGCTTGAACGAGTTGAATATCAACACAAATTACACTTTAGCCAGCAAGGAGATAGCAACATCTCAACCTTTGTTAGGTGAAACCCTCGTAACGCGAAGAAAATTTTTACTGGACTCTAATGAGATATTATTTGATTTGATGCGACGTGACTAGATAATAGAGCCTACACACGAGAAGGAAAATTAGATTTATAAGGAAGAAAATATGCCTGCGGCTTGTGGAATACTTCTATTATTAAATTGTATACAAGGGCGAACGATTTATATGAGCGCTCACGTTTGTCTGGATGAAACCCATCTGTTCTAATTCTTGTTTTCCAGAAATTTTCGCGTCTCATTGTTGAAGGCCAGTGGCTATGACAAGAAAGAGCAGGGGACGCCAAAAGATAGAGATGACAAGAATGTCAAAAGAAAGAAATCTTCTCGTTACCTTCTCAAAACGACGCTCTGGTCTCTTTAAAAGGGCAAGTGAACTTTGTACACTTTGAGGTGCTGAAATTGCTATAATTGTGTTTTCTCCAGGCAAAAAGGTATTCTCTTTTGGCCACCCGTGCGTAGATTCCATTTTGGATCGTTACATTATGAGAAACAGTACACCGAGTTCCAGCACAATGCAACTTATGGAGGCTCACCGGAATGCTAGTGTCCGGGAACTCAACATGCAACTGACCAACATTCTCAGCCAGTTGGAATCAGAGAAAAAGTGCGGTGAAGAGTTAAGCAAGATTAGGAAAGCCAGCCAAGGGACGTGCTGGTGGGAGACACCCTTTAACAAGCTTCGCTTGGAAGAGCTCGAGCAACTGAAGGAGGCAATGGAGGAGCTCAAAAAGAATTTGATTAATCAGGCGGAGAGGCTCATCGTGGAGGCATCGAACTCTTTGCAGCCTGTTCTTGGGGCGTCGAGTTCTAGAGGAAATGTTGGGCTTGATGTTGATGTTAAGATTCCTGGCCCTGGACTTTCAATGACTCCTCATGGATATTCATTTGGATATGGTCGTCCATTAATCTTTTAATCGTGGTGAATGCCACCAAAAAAATATCACCAGTTATGAAATAATGCTAAATTACCATTGTGGTATGCAACTATATATTATCAAGGAATTATATTATGATTTGAAATTATTTGTAATAAGTTTGATGTACTTGGTCTTTTACCATTATCAAGATGATGTTCGTTAATCAATCTAGCCTTTTGTAATGTTTTGGTGCTTGATTTTTGGCCATCAGGAAAACAATAAGAAAATGTATTTTTCTTTCTTCTTGTGAGCAAACTGGTTCTAATGTTATTGTACTTCACATTTAGGGGCAAGAAGTATCATAGTGGCAACAGGTGCAACTCAGATTGTGAAAATTCAAATGTGCATCAAGAAATCCTCATTAATTTTCCGTAAAACCCACGTCTAAGTTTTCGAAATGCCGGATTATTGGGATGGAAATTAAGTTTGAGGAAAAATATATCTATGTTTGTGATATAGCACACCCTCATTGATAAGTACCAGGGATTTAATTTCAAAAAAATCTTTGAATAAATATATCCGAACATTGAAAACACAGTTTTACTCAAGGAAAATAAGACTAAAATGTGGCCATTGATTTTGTGATAATTGTTTTTTTTTTGGTTTAATTTAGTCACTCGTAAGAAAGCATTTTGCTCCTAGTTCTCGTTGTAATTAATCCAGCAGTTATCAAATTTAGAGGGTGTTTGGTGATGATTAAAATTAGATTTTTAGTAAATTGTGATAGAAGTTTTGGAAATGTGTGGTTGAAAAGTTGTTGGACTCATGAAAGATGTGGTTAATATTGATTGTTTGACTTTGACTTGGATTAAAATCAGATTTTAAAGGTTGAACCCCAACCTTGAGGGCCCCCACCGACCCTGCCCTGGGCCATTGTGAAAGAGGTAAATCGCAGGATGTGCCTCCCAGGAGCCAGGGTCCACCCACCCTTTATAAATTTTATAATCTGTCAAACTACGTTTATCCACATATTTATCAAATCAATTAATATTCGCTTANATCAGATTTTAATTCGGACCAAATACGGGCTTAAGCATTGGAAAATCAATATTTGTAATAATTTAACAATCTTTATTTCAAAGATTTTTTTATATACATTAATATTCTTCTAACCAAATTGAGTATGTTACGCTTTGAGCTGAGAATTAATAGGTGATATACTACATATGGGATAACTCTTAGTGGTATGTTTCACAAGGCTTATTGAATTGTAATTTTTAAAGAGAAGTTACTCTTAGGGTGTGTGTGGGGGGGGGGGGGGNTTGATTTGTTGTAGAAAATGAGAATCCATACCAAACAGGACCTAGATTGAAAACCTCTAAAAGTTATCATAATTCTTTGTTACTTGAAACAAATTACATAGTGGATTTACATTATATGTGCAAATATCGTCTCATTTGGATATTCATTTAGATGATAATATTTATTCTCGTTTCGAATATTCGTTTAGATGATATTATCTTTGTATGGAAATTTGATATTATAATTGGCATATACTAATCAAAATTTCCAGTACCCAACAGCTTGCATAATTACCATGCATATCGTTACTACAATTTTTGGACGTCGTGTAAAATATGATCAATTATTATGGATCCTTTTCATTTTTTTTCCATTTGTATTTAGTCGTAAAAGACACACCATTTGTGTATTCCGAAGACCTAAGCAAGCAAGACGTGCTTCTTATGGTACATGTATCCCCAATATACAAGTTTATGTAACAACAGGAAACAAATCATCTTTATATTTCTCTAAATTATTATCTAATTAATGTGGAGTTAGACGTTCATCTTTGTCATGATTTTCTCTTGAATTATCAAATTATAACAGATGGGTCGACTATTAAAAACAAATACCAATTTATGTCACAATTCAGAAAATAATTACACACAAGTTGAAGCTGACTTAGTATTTATGCAAATAGTCAATTCATCTTGAATATGCCAACTAAGAGAACATTACATGCATTAAATAAATAAATATTTTTTTTAACTCCCAAATCAGGTGATCAAAAATGCAAAATGTAACAAAAACTACCAAAAAAATGATACTGGCCAAAGTTGAAGTCCTTATAAATTGTGCGAGTTTCATCCCAAAGTTTCATATCACAAAATCTTGAATGCAAATTAAGCATTTCCCTATCCGTTTGTACAATCAAATAGAATTTTAGCCATGGCCAAGAAACCTAGCATGGGTCGTCAAAAGATCAAAATCGCGAAAATAGAGATAAAAAATCACCTACAAGTTACATTCTCCAAACGACGATCAGGGCTTTTCAAGAAAGCTAGTGAACTTTGTATGCTTTGCGGTGTTGAGATTGCCATTGTAGTCTTCTCTCCGGCTGGAAAAGTGTTCTCCTTTGGTCACCCTAATGTTGAGCCCTTAATCGAAAGATTCCTTGCCCGAAATCCTTCTCCAAATCCTAATTCATTTCACATTCTTGAGGCTCATAGGAATGCCAGTGTTTGTGAACTCAATTTACAGCTGGGACAAATTCTTAATGAGTTAGAAATTGCAAGAAAAAGGGGCGAGACATTGGATCATATGAAAAAAAATAGCCAGAACCATTATTGGTGGGAAGGCCCTGTCACTAAACTTGGGTTACACGAACTTGAACAATTAAGGGATGCCATGGAGGAGTTGAAGAAAACTGTGACTACTCAGGCTACTAAACTCATGTCAATAGTGACTAATCTGCCGTTATATTTTTCGTCGACTGGCACTGGAATTTTCAATCAATATGACAGAAAACCAACTAATCCGGTGTTTGCGGGTTCAAATACTGCTCCTGTAAATGATAATTTTGGATATTGTCATGGATTTTTCTGATGCTTGTTTTCTCTATTTTGGTGCCAGTTTTAGGTTAGTAATTCACTAGCTTTTACTTGGGATCATGCTTTCAGTTAAAATTTACTAATAATAAATCATTCTTGTTAATTATTGATGTGTGTACAGTGCGTATATATACACCATTTCCTGTGAACTCTTTTCCTCTGGGTTAATAAATTCAATTTAACCAAAAAAAAAAAAAAATTAGAATTGATCTAAATGTATCTATGAAGTATTGAAGTTTGGAGAATAAAATTAGACTTGATCCATGGAATATTTTTTAACAGCCATAATACAAGGATAAAATATGAAAACCGCAGTTGTATCATTGATCTTCAAAACATATCAAGTCCTTTTCAGTTTAAGATTTTAGGACTGGAAGCAAGCCTTCCTTAGTCGTCCCATCTGCAACAAAGCTCGTCAGGAAGATGTGCTTGATTTGATGCCATTGCTACAAGCACTTTAACTAGAATTTACTTTTAAAATTGACTTGTAAAATTCAGGAGCAATTTGTACTAAATTTTGTTGAATGGAAAAGGCAGGACTGTAGGAAATTGTGAAAATGATTATCAACCAAAAACATTATCAAACCCTAATCACATACATAAATATACTCCATGTTGAAATCAAAGAGAAGATAAAAAATGGAAGCATACCTTGATCCATGTATTTGATTGCTTGAACGGATTATGATCTTCCAATTGATACGTAGTCTCCTTCTGAATTTTCTTTCTATTGATGAGGATGCATAGATCTGAAATGCCACGTACAATTGNAATGTGCACAATCTTATGAGTTCAAAATTATGCTATCATTATTATGGGTATTTGCAAATAATCTCGTCCATCAGTTATATTGATATAAGATCAAAGGGATCTTGGTCATATTTAGCGTGACTAAATTCATCACTGATCACATACACCCATACAACCAAATGACATTGATCAATCTTGAGAGTGCAGCATGAAAATTACATGTTATGTGATCCAAATATCACTACAACAAAATTGTGATTTCGCGACATACAAAAAGTTGCAATAAGTGACTTAACGAAGTTGCGAAAATTATGATGAAAAAAATAAGAACCAAATAATATAAGGCGACGTAAAAAGTTGTCGTGAAATGTGAGAAGTTGAGACAAATAATAAAGAACATCGCAAAAAATATGAGGGAAGTAAGGCGCCACAATATTTTTGGTGGGAAACTTATGGCGACAAACTTTTTATTTCTTGCAACAAATTGCTTTTGATGCAATAAGGTCTACTTTTTTGTGATAAAAAATATTTGCTGCTAAAAATTCTATAGTTGGAGGAAAAAATCGTTATAAGAAAAATAATTTTTTGCAACGGACAAAAAATATTGCAATTGGTTTTATACAATGCTCACCCGTATATTGTAAGATCTAATATTGTCGTAGATTAGAAGGATACGACAACGTGCAATGCGTGCTGCAAAAGCCCTCAAATGTACGAATATAGTGATTAGGAACCAATATGAAAGTCTTTGGTAGTTTTGGGGTCAATGTCAAAGATTTGAACTTTGGAGTGAAAATGACCAAACCTGTACAAACAACTTGAACTATGGACCGAATCATAAATATTGATACATTGGGGACTGAGTCGAAACATATGAAAATCCTGTCCCAAATGTTGTGCCCTACAAAATCACGTCATCGCTCTCAATGTCCATAACCTTTTCTACCTCTCAACTCAATTAAACCCTCAACTTGCTTTCCCACTCACACCAGTCGCCACCGACGATCTCCGACCAAGCCACATCGCCGGCCAACCTATAATCTTACAATCCCTAAAATCTTAAAAGCCTTAAAGGTTTGAAGCTGCTCTCCCTAGACGCCATCCATGAAAGCGAAGGGCCTACCCACCGTCGGTCAATCCACCACAGCCAACCAATCAATGCTCAACCCTGAGGTTTTTAGGTTTAGATTCCATATATCTTTTCTCTAGAATTTTCAATTTATTGCAATATATTGATGAATCATTCTCCTTCAAATTGTGTTCAAACTATGCTCTCCGATTTTTCCAATGCTTTACAGGGGTTCTCTTTTTCAGCCTTGTTCTCATGTTCTATGTTGTTCTATCAGTTAATGGTTGGTGTTGCTGTTTGTAGTTGTTTTCATTCAGAATAGATGGATTGCACCTCTTTTGTTG